TCGTTCCCTCTCAGGATTTTGGGCATGCACACTCATGTGCCTAGCGTGTTTTTTGAGTCTCCAGGTGCAAGGCTCAAACTGGACCATGTGGGATCCAGCCAACATAACCTCCATGCCTCCTGCTGGGTCTGCAGGGAAAGCATTTTTTCGATAACAGTTTTTTTACAAAAATTTTTTTGTATTGACATTTGTATTTTTTTAATTACATTTAATCACATATATCTTTACAGTGTATACCATTTCTTTTTCCAGCATGATTACCAAGCATATCAGTCAACCCATTCATCTGTTTGTGGACATTTGGGTTGGTTCCATGTCTTAACAATTGTGAGTAATGCTGCAGTAAACATTGATGTGCAAGCACTTTTCCAAATGGACGTTCTCCTGTCTTTTGGGTAGATACTCAGAAGTGAGATTGCTAGATCAAATGGTAACTCTATTTGTAGATCTTTGAGGAACCTCCATATTGTTTTTCACAGAGGCTAAACCAATTTACATTTCCACCCAACAGTGTAGGAGAGTTCCCCTTTCACCACAACTCTGCCAGCACTTATCACTTTTTGTATTTTAAATTTTTGCCATTCTGACAGGGGTTAGGTGGTATCTCATAGTGGTTTAATCTGCATCTTCCTTATGATGAGGGATGTTGAGAATTTCCTCGTATGCTTTTTGGCTATTCATATGTCTTCCTTAGAGAGATTTTTGTCCAGCTCATTTTTCCCGTCTTTTAATTGGGTTAATCTTTTTTTTTTTTTTTTTCTCTTCTTCAGGTAAGCCGCTTGAGTTCCCTGTGTGTTCTGGTTATCAGTCCCTTATCTGAGAATATTTTATCTGAGAATATTTTGCAAAAATATTCTCCCATTCTGACGGTTGTCAATTCACACTATAACTGTGTCCTTTGCTGTGCAGAAACTTCTTAATCTTATATAGTCCCACCTGTCTATTTTACGGAATATTGCTCGTACTTGGGAATCTTATTTAAGAATTCTTTGGCTCCCTCAGTGTCTCCCAGAGTTTCCCCAGTGTTTTTCACCAGAAGTTTTGTAGTTTGAGGTCTTGGGCTCAGATCTTTGATCCATTTTGAGTTAATTTTTGTTAGTGGTGAAAGACAGGGATTCAGTTTCATCTTTCTGCAGGTGGATACCCAGTTTTCCCAGCACTATTTGCTTAAGAGGTTTTTCTTTTCCCAATGGATTGCCTGGTATCCTTTGTCAAAAATCAGTTGGTTGTAAGCTTTGGGGTTTATTTCTGGGGTCTCTATTCCATTGGTCCGTCTGTCTGTTTTTTGTGTCAATACCATGCTGTTTTGATTATCACAGCTTTATAGTATACTTTGGGGTCTGGGAGTGAAATGCCACCCACTCCACTCTTCCTATGTAGGAGAGCTTTGGCAATATGAGGCCTTTTACGATTCCAGACAAATTCTTTGACTCTCCTTTCTAAATCTGTGAATAATGTCTCTGGTATTTTGATTGGAATTGTATTAAATATGTAGATTAATTTGCATAGAACTGCCATTTTGATTATATTAATTCTTCCAATCCAGGAACATGGATGTCTTTCCACTTTTTTGTGTCCTTTTCACTATCTTTTTTGATATTTTCACAGTTTTCTTTATAAAGGTCTTTGACTTCCTTAGTTTAGTTTATCCCTAGGTATCTTATACATTTTGTGGCTATGGTAAAAGGGATTCCTTCCTTCAGATCTATTTCATTCACTTTATTGTTTATATATAGAAATACTATAGATTTTTGGATATTAATTTTGTATCCTGACACTTCACTGTATTCATTTATTACTTTGAAAAGTTTTTCATGGAAACCTTTGAGTCTTCTACATATACCATGATGTCATCTACAATTAAAGCTATTTTCAACTCTTCTTCACCTTCTTGAATGCCTTTTATATTATTCTCTTTTCTGATTGCATTGGCTAAGACTTCCAACACCATATTAAAAAGCAGTGGAGAAAGTGGGCAGCCTTGTCTAGTACCCATTTTAGTGGAAAAACTTTTAGCTTTTTCCCCATTCAGTATAATGTTAGCTATAGGTTTTTCATATATGGATTTTGTTGTGTTGAGAAATAACCCTTCTATTCCAATCTTGCTGAGAGTCTTAATGATGAAGGGATGTTATATTTTATCAAATGCTTTCTTTGTATCAAGTGAAATGATTTTTATCTTTCTTTCTGTTAATATGGTGATTTATATTATGGTCTTGTGTATGTTGAACCACTCTTACATTCCTGGAATAAAACCCATTTGTTTATGATGAATAATATTTTTTATATGTTGTTGGATACAATTTGGAAGTATCTTGTTGAGAATTTTTGCATCTATATTCATCAGAGATATTGGTCTATAGTTTTCCTTTTTTTATCATGTCTTTTTCCAGCATTTCACTTTTAGTCTATGTATTTCTTTATCCATAAGGTGTGTTTCTTGTAGGCAACAGACTGTTTCTGTTTTTTTATCCATTCAGCAAGTATGAGTCTCTTGATTGGAGAATTTAATCCATTAATGTTTAATGTTCTTATCAATATTTCTGGATATGCTCCTATCATTATGTGAGCCTTTTTTTTGGGGGGGGTGTTGTTTTTATGTTCTCTTATATCTATCTGTCTGACTTTTTAGTTTTCCTGGTATAGCACTCCCTTCAGTTGCTCTTGAAGAGATGGCCAGCAGTTGGTAAATTCTTTCAGGTTTTGTTTATCCGAGAATGTTTTTTTTATCTGTTTTTCCCATACAAAGGATAATCTTGCTGGGTATAGTATTCTTGTTTGAAACTGTTTTTCACTTATCACTTTGACTATATTTCCCCATTCTTTTCTTGTCTGCATTGTTTCTTTCTTTTTCTTTTTTTTGGAGAAGTTTTTGCTATAGAGTGCG